CTCCCCCTTTTCTGGATTTTTTCTCCTCCCTGATGCTCATCTCCAAAGGTTGGGGATGTGGTTCAATCAATAGGAGGCCTTAGGACAATGGTCTACTGGTGAAATATATTCACACCCTGGCACTTCTGCCAGTCTAATGTACTTGCTTTCACTCTCTTCCCTTTGTCCAGATTTGACTACTCATGTTTCCTTTCAACTATTTGACAGTGATGGCTTCTATCACTCGCCAAGGGGACATTCGTTCTTGTTCCTTTTGTGGTAAACTGTGGATCTCCCTTTTTGAACCCCCACACTTGACATACGTCTCCTGGAGGGTTGTGTTCCAGGTGATTTTGTCCTTGTTGCTGAGTGACTTTCCTGTTCCATCACACTTCCTCTTAAGGAGTGACCTCTCAACCAACCAAATTTTTGGTGGCTCTGCCTCGTGTGGGGTACTCCTCCACGTGAATTTTTTGAATTTTTTATCAATTCCCAGCACTTACCTCATTTGTTTTTGGTCTCTAGTTCTTCATCCACTTTCCCTGGCTGTTGATTTGTTCAGACAAGATTACATCCAGTTTATAACATCAGTTTTTTTCCAAAAATGTTTGTTCATCCATGTTCCTCCAGTTCAGGTCTTCTGATTGATCTTTCCTGGCCATCACACATCTGGGTTTCTCGGCTGTTTCAGCTCGATTTGTTTCTCTTTAACTACATTTTCGTGGCTCCTCTGGTATATTCCTTTTGACTTTTTAGTTTCTTACCATCTTCAATATTTCTTCTCAGTCAGTTCCAGATGACCTTGTTTGTCCAGTACATGCTGTGGGTTACTTCATTGTTTTCAAGGCTTTTTTCTGTTGAATCTATTTCCCACAATTTTCTTCCCTTACTCCACTGCTTTGTCTGTGATTTTTTCCCATTCCTCCCTGACCCATTGGGTTTGAACTGTTTTTTGATTGGCCTTTTATTCCTTGTCTTTTTCTACCTGCCATCAATTCATGGTATCTTCACTCCGATCATGCATCTTCCCTTTTCCCTGCATATCAACCCTGTAGTCTGTTGAGCACTTGGACTACACCTCATATGTTCATCTCCCATTATCTGTTTTGAGTAGCTGTTTCTTCCTTGTCAAGATATCATCATCCACCTGTTGCCACCCTTCACTCTTTCATGAGTAAGTTACCTTTTAGTATCTATACTTCTTATTTTTCAGGGCATGTCTCTCTTTTTTTTTATGGATCCCACTCTTTGGTGAGTGGTGCCTGTCCAGGTACACTTAAACTAGTCAAAGCCACACTGTAAGGCCATGATGACTTTACAATTATAATTGAATTAAATTCCATGGCCAGTAAACACATACTGCTGTGATGGGGTGTTCCACAAGATTGCTTGTAGGTTTATCCTCACGATATGTTTGCCTCATTAATTTGCCTCTCCTGGACTGTATTCACCCAAGAACTACATGGGTAAAGCAGAAGGGGATAGTTGCCCATCCCTTGTATTGAATCAATTGGTATAGTCTGCTTTTCAAAATAGGGTTTTGTTGTTAACCATTGCACTGTCTCAGGTGTTGTCATTCCTCTGGACTCTTCACCATGCTTTCTCCCCTCTTTTCTTCTAGTGGAGTTTGGAGGTTCTTACATTTTCCAGTTCCAAGCCACTGGGATGGTGGACCATGGAGGCATCCTCCTGAATGAGATAATGAGAAACAATATATAAACTAAACCATTCAGTTGAGAGTAGGGCAGTGGTGTTATGCTGGCGTAGATGATGAGTTGTCCTCCATTTCATATATCTTGAGAGTGAGCCATCAAAATTGCAGTTCACTCCTTTGATTGGGATTCCTCATCCTACTTCCACTTGGATGTCAGTTCTCAGTGTCTGGGTTTTGGATTTAGAGCTGAACCAGTCAACATAAGTCCTTACACATGTATTACAGATGTTTCTATTCCCTAACTCAATTATACTCTTTTTTACTCCTTCTGTGTTGTGATTAATGGTGGAGGTACATGCAGATAAATATGGTTCTTCCCCATCTGCTATCCCTTGATGTTCTTATTATTCTGAGGATGTTACTGCACTTGGGGTTGTTCCTGTCATTTTGATTTGGAATGAGATGATTTACATTACTCAGATATAATTTCGATATCGGGTTCCAAGATCGATCGATCAATTTCTCACATTGCTATCATGTGTCCCATTCATAGGTTGGAGGGCACAAGATTCCCTCCAGTCTCATGAACTTGAGGAGAAGATGGTATGATCATCTTTCCTACCCCAACCTGATGGCTGGGTTTTAGATTGCAGTTGAATTGCTGCTGGTATGATCCTCTTTCCTTCCCCCACATGGATATTGGTTCCCAATGGCCTGGGTTTTGGATTGTAGTTGACTTGCTGGTGGTATGATCCTCTTTTCTACCCTCACATGGATGTCAGTTCCCTGTGGCCTGAGTTTTGGATTAGTTAACTTGCCATGTACAGTCCGTCATGCCATAGCCACTCTACACCTGGAGACACATCCTTTTACTCTCACCCACATTTATGTATTATGAGATTAAGGTTCCTGTATTATGTGGTTTGGATCTCTATCCAACCACAGTTTTCTCCCTATTGGATGTGCTACTCCATATTTCCTCCCATATCTGTGACGTCTTTTTCCACACTGGGCGAAGAGTATACTTGGTATAGAAGTGGTGCGGTCTCCCATGTATGGTTCTTTACTGTGAGGATCCCCTTTTTAGGGTATTCTTTGGATGCTTCTTTCTTTCTCTTGCATTGGTCCCTCCACCTGTTCAATGTAGGATTCTAGCTATTTGTGTTAGAAGATGTATCTTACTGGAATTTATAATTTTCCAATACTGAAAATCTATTTCCAATAGGTACTTAACTCCTCTCACACTTCCTCCCAACTGAAAACTGCCAAAACTCGAAGTGATAGTTTGATAAAATTGAATAGAGGAAGTCATATGCATCAAGAGAGTATGTCACACTGTTATTGGTGGAAGGTTGTTGCATGATGATTTGCATGCGAGATGCATTGGAATCAGTCAATTCCAGATGGGTGGGAGCTTCAAGGCTTGTGCCATGTGTGAAAAAAATTTAGCATATAGAGGGCAGCACTGAATGATAATATTTATGTGAGTGGAGATAAGTACCTATTGCATATACATTTGCAGTATAGGAAAATTATAACTTAAGTTAATCATCCAGCTCTACATTTTAGACTGTGATACACACATTTAGTACCAAAGTTGGCTGTTTTTCACTTATTTTAATTAATTGAACTGGACATAACCTTGTTTCTGTGATCATCTTTTCATGCCAATAAATTTCAAGCAATGGGATAACTAGGTTTCAGGGGTCTTGGGGCAAACATTGTTGTTGCTCCCTGTTCCACTTCATTAAAACTCTTTCCGTGTTTTAGAATATTTTATCCTCATTTCTGATATTCAAATTTTTAATTCCCATGGTCAGCTTTGGCCCTGGCTTACTTGTCCTACCTATTGCTACATCATTGATTACAAGAAGTACTATAATTAAAGTAGATGATTTTAACTTCTTCTTTTTACTTTGTCAGTAGGATGAAGAAGAAAATATTGGAATTACATATTAACTCAACCAATGTCCTTAGTGTGCATCTATTTATGTTTTTTACCGACCACATTTTTCAACATATAAAACTTTGTTATACTTTTAAGAAAATGACCATGAACTCCAAAATAGGGTTTTTATTTTGATCACTATTTTGTTTGTACAACTTCCCCAGGTTGATTTACGTTAGTTCTTAAGATGATTTCAAAGCTACTCCAGTCAACATTTCATAATTTTAGTTAAAATACATGGCTGTACACAGAACCTTATTTTTGCATATGTAACTTTATAATCATCAGTATTTTTTACTTTTTAGGTTACTAAAACATACAGATTGCTTTATCCTCATGCATACTTATGGAATCCCTTCTTCCTATATATTATTCTTTGCTGCAGTAAAGCAGAATATAACATATATATTGGTAGATTTTGACAAAATTAGAAAATTCAAGGTACTTTTAAAAACCACCAGGTAAGTTGATTAAGAGCACAACAACAGAAGGTTCTGGATATAATAAGCAATTAGACCCATTAACCAATAAATTAGACTAACATACAAATATTTCACAACAACGACAGTTTTATTTTACAATTCTTCAAATGTATGGCAAAAAGGTGATGTGTAAAATACCTATTGATAAATATAACTTAACACTTGCTCTTCATGTTTAAAGTTGGCTTTTTCTGGTGGTTGGAAAGTGATTTAAGAGATTATCTCAACAAACTGACCACTGTGACAAAATATGAGATGGAAAGTGAGAGAGAGCTGACTTTGCAAAGTATTAAGTTCAATTCTAAGCTTCATCAAAACTTTCCAGAGTACATTGTTACCTGTTACCCATGGCATCTTTAAAGAAAGAGAAACCAGAGTTTCCAACATATCTTTATTATCAATATGCCAGACAGTCATGGAAAACTAATCAATGACTTACTGATAAACTGGTCACACACAAAGAGATTTGCATAAACTAGTTTTGACCATGTGTAATTACCTAAGGGCAAGAATAATGCAGGTCATGGTTAGGCATACTCTGTTCATCTGAAACTTGTACTGAATTGTTGAAAAATTGTATAAGTAAAGATATATTCCTATATTCTAAAATACAGAGAGATTTATTTGTGATATATACCTGTACATTGCTTACACTGTAATGATTATAATTCAATAACCTACAACTATAGAATCAGGTTTGTGGCTGTGTTAGTTTCAGCTTACTGTGTTGGTGATTCATAACAAGCAGTTTTGTATTTTGGATATTATAACAGCTACAGTAAGATTAGGGTTTTGATTATTATATATTGTTTTACATACTTAAGTTTAATAGAATGAGTTAAGCATTCATAGTGTTATAATTTTGAATAAACAATATATATACTGTAAAAAATTGACTGAAGTACATCCTTTTAGGTAATTTTCCTTCATGTTATAGGGACATCTATCCTATGATATTGGTAGCTAACAAGGTTGATCTAGTCCACCTTCGAGTTGTATCAGAAGAACAAGGACGAGAACTAGCAGCTTTGCTAAAGGTAATGTAAGTAGCAAAAAGTTTGAGATGCCAAGAATTTAACAGAAATCATGGGACACAGTTTATGTAAGTTGAGTATAAATTGTCAATGTACTACAAGAAATAACTTCCATGTAAGATACTATTTGCCTTTTAGTTAAACTTGATATTTTTCAAAGAACATAAATCTGTACTTTTACTAGTAGCATCATTAAAAATAATTTAATTCTCAAACTAACAAGCTGTTTCTATACAATGCACTACTAGTGAGGTCCAAATAGTGCATTATATTGAGTAGTTTTATGTTTTTTCCTGTTACAAAACTCATTTTAAACAACTGAGCAAAAATATGGAGTGAAATCATTAATTTTTTTGTAAAATAAGTAGAGGACCCCTCTAGTAATTAGTAGGATTATATGTAATTGCAGTGTTAAGTACATTTTATTTAAATTTTTTGTGTGACTTAAATGTCATTAGGGATTCTTGAACAATGTCGTGGACCTACAAGTAATTTTTGTTTAGAAAAATGTGGTTCAAAAATCCAGTGGGTTCCATATCCAATTGGTAGTTCTAAGGTTAACCAGAAATGAATTTCTTTGTTAAAGTTAGTTTCTTGTCTTATAGAATGCATCCAGATTGCTTATTTGTCAATAACTTGCACTTCTACCATTAGAACTCAAGAATTGTTCCTTTTTTCTACTGTGTCTGATCTATTATGTGAGCAATTAATTTGATTCAATATGAGTTCATTAGTACAAAATGAAGATTTTATTCTTTCCTTTAAATCTCCATATATGGACTCTTGTCATTTTGACCAACTTTGCAACCACTAGGTAATCATGAAAGTATACATAACTTTTAATGTAGTAAGTGTATTTTCACGAAATTTTGCAAGTCTTCAGTAAACATTACAAGTATTTTGTACTCAAATAATCAGATTTTCATTTTAAGTATTTTTTCGATATAGGTTTGTCTGGAATTTATGGGTCAAAGTATGTATGTGATTCAGACTCTTAGTAGTCTGAGTGCAAAGTGATTTTCATGTTAATATTAAAAATACTTTTTTTTATCTTGCAGTTTTTAAATTTTATTTGCACAACCTTTTCAATTAATATCAAATGTTATTTTTAGTGAAACTATATTTTCTCTACCATAACATTAAGTGTAGTGAAATCAGCAATGTATTGTAAAATGAATAGTTGAAGAAATACAAAATATATCTAAATTACCCATGTTTCTTTCTAAAATGACTGCAGATTGTAACAAAAAAATTTCAAGGTGTAAAATTTACATCTATTTTTATTTAATTTTATTGCTCTTTGAAGCATTTCTAACTACTTTTGTTCTGTTACTGATGCTTTATTTATTTTATTAACATTACAGTTTGCTATTGTTTTATTATGTGAAGCTTTTATCATCTTGTTTAGAAAACTGTTTTGTATAAGAGATGTACAAAACAACTGATATCACTACAAAGTCACAAAACACACATTTTCAGGTAAATCTAAAACATGAAATTCTGGTATTATTTCCAACACATTGAACTATTAGTCAGTGAAATTTGATTTAAAAATTTGAAGAAAAAAAATGTTGATCATTCATCTCAGTGTTTTCTATGTGGTTTGGAACAAATTGATTCAGATTCAATTTCTGTTTCTGCAAAATATGATAACTTTATTTAAATTACAATATTTTCTCAGTATATTTTAAATTGGATTGAATTTAGATTAAAATAATACGAGAAATTCTCTCTGTATTTTAATTAAAATAAAATTTAATTTATTTGTATTAAAGTCCATTTTTAATTTAATTTTTTAGTGTTTAAAGTTACTTGTGAAACTTATTTTCTGAATTTATGTATATTGAAATTTTTAAAATAAACTTTATGAATTACTTTGTTTCTAGCACTTTTATATTTCATTTGTTTCATGAGTAATTTTTCAGGTTCTTGATAAATGTTAACTTTAGTGTATCACTATGCAAGTGTACAAAAACAAAGGTTGTGTTAATAGTTTTTTTTATTTTTTCAGATTCCTTACATTGAAACAAGTGCCAAAGATCCACCTCTCAACGTAGATACTGCTTTTCATGATGTGGTTCGGATCATTAGGTAAAGAGATTCTCTATCTTGTTTGCAGTTCTGGATCAGGTATTAACCCTTTTGAGATGGGTCATGGGTGAAAGGCCATGTCATCTCGTTTGTTGACTCGCATTCAAAATGTTATTGAACTACTATTTCATGAATTTATGTCAATAAGTTTGGTATCAAACTGTAGATTATAATTCAAATTTTAGTACTATATATTACTCAATTTAAAAACAAATATTAAAAAACACAGATAAACATTGATTTTTGTGTGTCACGTGGTATGTTGAATGCAGCACTGGTTCAAATTAGATGTTTGTGAAGTCATAATACCAAGTCTATAGTTTCATACGAATTAGAAACTCAGATTAATGATATTGACAAGCTAGAATATAAAATAAGAACCTTGTATCTTTTTTATTTGCTGAGATATCATTAGTACGGAATCAAACACAGTG